TGGATTTCTACATAAGTCCAAGAAAAGAAAATAAGTTGGTTTTATCCACGACAAAACGGAGCATCAAGGTCATAATTCTGATTACGACAAGAGTTCTATAAATGAAACATTTCTTCTGAGACTTAAATGAAGCAAAGAAGACACAAAAATACAAGTTGGTCAAATGGTTCTTCAGAAATATAGCATAAGTTGCTACACTCCAAAGGTAACCCTGGAAATAAATGATCAAGTGAAGGAAGACCAAGTTCACCACTTTGAAGTCAAATGAAGATTGCATCAACATTCATGCATTCATAAGAACATCATTTGCACAATAGACAATGCATTACATTGATACATTTGATTGCATTCAAACATAAGGGTTTTTTTCAGATTTTCATATGAAAAAGAAAATTCATGACTCAAAATACCTCACAAGAAGAAGGTACAATTCAAAACCTCAAATACAAAAATCATGCAAACATCTGAAGAATAGATGGTTGCAATCCATAAAAGAAACATTATTTTAAAATGGGGCATGTTACCCAATCAACCAAGTTATTTTGAAAAAAAATGAGAAAACGATTTCCAAAAATTCTCATTTAATCTTTTCTAAAAATGAAATTGTTGAATAGTAAGAAAACGATTTCAATAGTTTCTTACTTAGTAAACTATTTCCCACATCTGTAAGACCTACAGTGCATGATGTTTTCAAAAAGTCTTTGGGAGCTTTTTGATATTTAAAGCCTCTGGCTCATCTGTAAGACCTGTAGTGCAAGATGATAAGACCTCTGGGCAGAATGTTTTCAAAATTTCCGGAAGAGTTCATAATGAGAAGAACTCATCTGAAGAAAGAAGAAGAAGTTCATAATAAGAAGAACTTGTTCAACCTTTTGCTCAAATTCATCATTTGATGGATCAGCTTTTCCAGAGAAAGTTCATAATGAGAAGAACTTATCTGAAGAGGAAGAAGAAGTTCATAATGAGAAGAATTTGTTCAACCTTTTGCATGACTCTATCACAGAAGGAGATAGATCAACATCAACATTTCCAGAAGTGTTCATAATGAGAAGAACTCATCTGAAGAAGTAAAATAAGTTCATAATGAGATGAACTTGTTCAACCTTGCCTTAATTCATCACATATGAAACCAAATTAACAACCCCTCTTTTGAAGATCAGCATTTCCAGAAGGAGTTCATAATGAGAAGAACTCATCTGAAAAAGAAGAAGAAGTTTATAATGAGAAGAATTTGTTTAACTTTTTGCTAGATTACATCACAAAAGAAGATAAATTGTCATCCCCAGTGGAAAAGTTCATAATGAGAAGAACCAATCCCAAAGAAGAACTTGTTCAACATTTTCATCCTAATCAAGAGAAGTCAAATGGAAAAAAACTTATCGTCTTTTCCATCTTTGCCCTATTCTTGTTAACACAAGAATGAGCAAAGAGGGGCAGCTGAAGACACTAGTTTTTATCCATTCGTTTTTATTATTTTATTATTATTAATAATTAATATTAATATTATTATTATTATTATTTATTATTATTATTATTAATTTTATTATATTACAAGCCATTTACAATTACAAATCATGGAGGCCGGAATACAAAATAGATTTGGCCCAACCAGATGGCCTAGTAGAACCCTAAACTACTAGGGTTTCCATCATCTCAGCTTACAGTCGCCAATGATCTCAACCATTGGATCTCCAAGATCCAACGGTCCACAGATGGTTCCAACTAATGCATCTAGGGTTTCATCACCCTATCTCAACCAGCGCCGCCTCCAGATGCTTCCAACCGCCCCACGTCCCACTCTGCCGACGCATCCCAAGCCAGATGGGTCAACCAGCCGCTGCCGACGCCCAGCCACCTTCTGTCATTCTCACCGAAGCCACCCGGAGTGCCACGAAGCCACCCACGTTGAGTTTTATGGTGAGTCACCATCATAGCTATGGTGACTCACCGAATTACCCTCTATTACCTGGTCTGAGGAGGACATTGTGGTGGCTATAAAAGCCACCACCGAACCTGCAAAGAAAGCCACAGAGAGGAAGATACGAGCCCAATAGAGCAAGAACAACAACCAAGAGCAATACAACAACCAACCACCAAATATCGAAATAACAAAGTAGAGAAAAACTTACCGATGAAGATCGGAGACACCACGCACCTCCACTCACCTCCGACAAGTTTGAAATACCGAAGGTATTATCGTAAATCTACTCATATTAGAAGCTTTTTAGGGGAAACTAATGTTAGATTTGGTATTGGGGTGTTCGGGGCTAAATTTTGGTGAAAAATTATATTTTCCGGCCACCGGCAGCGGCGTATGACGACCGACCGGCGACCGGATTCCCTCCAGCGAGGGAATCCTAGAGAGAAAGGAGAGAGATTTATCTCTCTCGTCTAGAGAGAGAATGAAATATGAGAGAAATGAGAAAATGGCCTTAAGGCCGGTTATAAGGGGGTATTTATACCCTCACCAAAACGACGTAGTTTTGGTGAGGGACCCTTGTGTAATTTCGCGTAGGGTTTAACTCTTCCCGTTGTCCTTATAATTTGAAAACGTTTCAATTTAATCCCGAAAAGCATGTTCTAATTTATTTTAATTTGATATTCGAATTCTATTTTATTATATTTTAGTTCTTGACATAATTATATATTTTTTAGAATAAATAATTGATTTAGCCATTGTAAATTTTATTAATTAATATTTTAATCCCGAATTAATTTATTATGGTTAAATTATACTTTTAATACTTAGATTTTATAATATTTTCGAATTATTTCCATTAATTTTAATATTTTTATAATTTAATTTTTAAAAGCATATTTCTGTTTATTTTAATTTGATATATATATATATATATATATATATATATATATATTTCTTTTTAGTTATTTATATATATATTTTAGGGTAAGATATGACAAAGATATGATTAACCTTTTCGAAGATGGTGCTATATTGACAGACATATAATGATCCTATTGACTTAGTGGTAGTATGATTGTCAATAAATTGATTGATAAATTTATATTATATGTATGTAGGGTATAGAATTAAATTAATATAATTTTGTTACTATATGCACGTGATATGCATATTATAAATAAACAATCCTCATCATTTTGATAAGATCTTCAAGAAAGATCCCGTATCAATAAAAAAAAAATTATTAATAATTTAGTGTTTAAATTTTATTTTATTATATTTTAGTATATGTTATATTTATATATATTTAATTAGTACTTTAATTATTATTTTGTTATTATTTTAGTTATATAAAAATATATTTAATTAAATAATAATATTTATTTATTTTAAATATTAAGATAGGGTTGTCTTAAATTAACTAGAAATCATATTCCGATATTTTTAAATAAATAAATATTTTATTTATAGTTTATAAAAATCATTTTTCTTCCTTAGAATTATCCGATTAAAATAAGAAATAATATGATCATAAATTAAATTTATATTCGAATTCTTAAATTCTAATATTAGAGACAATCTATAAATCGACAAGGAACAATTTTGGGCATTGTGGGGTGTTAATCCTTCCCTAAATGTAATCGACCACGAATCCCTTTTTATTATTAAAAAGAATGCATTTTTGGTTAAACGCATACCAGTTTATCTTTTAACTGATGTTTTCTTGAAAACTATTTTAAAAGATAATTTTTAGGTATTCGATCTACCTAATCCAAACGGCCGATGGCGACTCCTAAAATATTTCTTTAAATAAAAACCATTTATTTATTCATCTTATTTTTCCCGCCTAGTAAAATTTCGTGCCTGGACGAAAATCGGTTACAACAGTACGCAAATTATTGAATGTGGAGACATGTTTATGTTTGAGCTTGGTGGTAAATGTTGAATTGGAACATATATGTGCCAATGCTGTAGGCTTGTTTGAGTCATTCTACTGCGTGTTTATCTTATGATTGGGATTATTGAGATTTTCTGGGTGCTAGTGGCTTGCTATCTTGTCTCTGGTATTGTTTTCTTCTACAGTATTCTTCGGTGGTGTTTTTCGTTACCATAATGGAGATTTCCTTCTCGCCTTCGCAATCAAAATTGGACAGGTTTCAGTTCTACAAGCTGAACTATGGGGTGTTCTCGAAGGACTAAAGCTCGCTTGGACTAATGGATTTGAACGTGTCCAAGTCCAAATTGATAATGCGGATGCCCTCAAGCTTATACAGTCTGCCTCTACCGAGAGTCCCTTCTCGTCAGTTCGTGCCATTGATAATCTTTGCTGCAGAGCCTGGGCTATTGATTTCATTCTTATAAAACGTGAAGCAAACGCTCCAGCTGATTTCATCGCCCCAAAAACCTCCCTCCCTGTCGGTTCTTTTTGTCGGTTCTCATGATCTCGTGGAAATTTCTCCGACTCAACTACGAAAGCTAGTGGAAAGGGATATTTTCGGTCCTCCTTACACTCGTATAGGACGTTAATCTGGCATTTGGCCTCATTTTCAATTCAAAAAAAAATCTTCTAATAATAAATATAATTATTTTTTTTTATTTTTTTTATTAATTTTAAATCTAATCTTAATTCTAAACTCTAGGGGAAAAAGGAGAGTGATCATAAGGAGTCTCTAGCCCATGATTCTAAATGCGTACCAGAGAATAAAGATAAACAACTTAATTAACCGACTAAATATATTTACTCTATTATTTTTATTTCTATTAAGAATAAGATACTCTTGCATTAAAAATAAAATATTGCTTCCCTAATAATGAAAACAATTATGTAAAATGTAATATTTGAGACTTAATTGTTTCAACCAATCTTGGTTTAAATATTTTAGATATTAGTTAAGATGAAGATTTGTCTCATGCCAATCAATTAGATTTTTTTAAATAGTATAAGATAATTATAAAGTAATATTTACTTATTTTTTAAAATTATCAATAACGTAGAATGTAAGTAAATTATAACCCTTAAAATATCATAACCAAGTATATGATATTTGAATTAAAAAAAAAACATGTAAGACTAAGTCGGTAAATTGCATTATATTTGGTTTCTTACAGTCCCAGTTGGCTCTGAACTTCAAGTATAGTTTTAGCCGACATCCTAAGCCTCTGCTCCTCTTCATCCGTCAAATGGATATTGGTGACGCCCAATACACCACCCCTGCCCAGCTGCGTTGGCAAGCTCAAGAAAACATCACCACCATCGATGCCGTAAAACCCCTTTGCAAGGACTGAAACTGGGTGGATCTTCCTCTGGTCTCTAAGCAGGCTTCTGGCCAAGTTAGCCACCGAGTAGCCAATTGCCCATGATGTATACCCTTTCAGACTGATCACCTCGTATGCACTCTCGATAACTGCCTTGTGAATCTTCTCCAGCGTCTCTTTTTCGTACGCAATTTGTTGGTTCTTTAGGAAGCTTAACACTGGCACTCCACCGATACTAATACTGGACCACAGTGCGACGGAGCTGTCTCCATGCTCACCGACTATGTAGGCCTGCAAACAATTATATAAGCTTTTCGATATTATCATATAGGAAAAGTTAATTGTATCAAACTAACCTGCACATCCTGAGCGTTGACATCCAAGTGATCGGCGATCAAGAATCGGAACCTGGACGAGTCCAGGTTCGTACCCGAACCGATGACCCGATTCGATGGTAAGCCGGATAACTTCCAGGACACGTACGTTAGCACATCCACAGGATTCGAAACGATCAAGAGAATCGTATCGGGTGAGTATTTTGCTAATGGAGGAATAATGTTCGACAACAGAGCAACGTTCCTCTGTAACAGATTCAGCCTAGACTCGCCAGGGTTCTGACGGGCGCCGGCGGTGACGATACAGAGATCCGATCCGACGGTCACGGAATAATCAACGGAAGCGACGATCTTGGTACGTGGGAGGAACGCAGCGGCGTGTTGGAGGTCGAGCATTTCGCCATGGAGCTTGTCCGGCTTGGCGTCAACGAGGGCGAGTTCGTCGGTTAAGTCTTGAGTGAGGATGGTTTGGGCGATTGCCATGCCGACATTCCCGACTCCGATGACGGAGATTTTGGTGTGGCGCTTGGTGGGGGAAGGTGGGGCGGTGTCTCGGATGGGCTTGAAGAAAGCCTGAGACAGGTCTAGGCCTCCTGGACCAAAAGAAGAAGCAGAAGCGCTCTTGTGCATTGTAAATTATAGAAAAACTCGAAGAGATGAGAAATGAAATAAAATTATTTGTTCTGGATTTTCTTTTCGAGTGTGGCGGTCGGTGATTTATAGACGGGGAAAGGAAAGCGGGTTGAGTGGAGAAGAAGGATGTCGTGGAGTTTTCAGCTTTTTTTCGACAGTCAACAACGTTATTTCTTCAAGACAGTATACTTTCCTTCTTTGTAACACTATTTTATTCGATTTAATCCAACGTTCAAACCTCTTTTCAACTAAACATGGAAGCTTCCATGCGAATTAAGGAACACGCGCTATTCCTTACGGGAGGTTCCTTATGGAAGATGAACGGTGATCTACGGATCATGATGGACAGATTTAAGCAGCAAAACGTGGCACAAGATCACGTGTTGAGCACGAGTGCTACAGTGGTTCCGTACTAAATTCCCGTGATGCCCAATCTAAAGTTTACCAGATCCGTGGGCAGAGCAGTGAATGATCTCCTTTTTGATCTCATTCCTTCTCCCCACGGCTTCTTGCGACATTACAAGGAAGTTGAAACTTCAAACGCATTTGTTGGACCAGCTGGTTTGAGTTTCTAGACAACTATCGTGCTAGTTGCCGACATTGAAGTTTTCAATTTTTCATTCTATTTTTTGAGTGTTTTCCACGGTTTAATAGAACGAGAAAAGAGGACTTTCATCTCTGTTTTGAAAACCGATCAGATCGGTCGGTTTAACCGGAAATCGTTGTTTAGTTCGGTTTAATCTAAACCGATTGAACCGTTATTAGTGAACCGGTCAGAACCGTTGAACCGTTTAAACTTGACCGGCTAAAAACTGGAAAAAATCGGGAAAAATCGGGATTTTTGTTTTTTAAAAAAAATAAACCAAACAACGTCGTTTGTTAAACGAGCCAAGTCAAACTCGAGTATTGCTGAGCTCGACTCGAACTTGAAAACTTTAAAAGTAAGCTCAACTCAACTCAAACTCACAAGCTAAAAATTATCAAGTTCAACTCAAACTCGAAATATAATATTGAAACTTGAACTCAAAAAGGTTTGAACTCAAAAAAAAATTAGAAACACTATTGAAGCCTAAAATTCGAGCTTGATTGAAGTGAAAGAATAGTTCACTCAATGTTCACCAAAAGGCTCCATGATTTTGAATGTCAAATTACATCTATTATTTATAGAAGTTAGTTGTGATGCGCTTCTATGTTTCTTAGCAATGTGATATTGTTTTGTTCTCATATTTTTACTCTTTAGACTTTTGGGATGCTCTTCTATGTTTCTTAGCTATGTGAGATTGTTTTAAAAAAAAGTAAACCAAACAATATCATTTTGTTATGATTTTTTTAACCTCAAATTTATTTTTTAATTATAGTTATATAATTATATTTATTATTTAATATATTTTACCTTAAATATTATGTTGTAGTTAATTTGAATCATTTTGTTTCACTTGATTTTATGATTTTTTAACTTATATATGTTATGATTTGCTTTAAATATAACTTGTGATATAAAAAATTATTTTTTATTAAATATTTTTAGTATTTTTATTTAATTTTTTAAATAATTATAACGTCATCTGATTCTTCCGACCAATTAAATCGATTCAAATCGATAATATGATCGATTCGTTAATCGATCCAGTTCTGAAAACCAGGACTTTCATCTGCCCCCTATTTCCACAACATCATCAATTTTCAACGTGAAGATGATGGCAATGGCCAACTTTTTCCCACTGCTCTTGCTCGCTTCTCGAGATAAAGAAAAATCTTGTTACATAAAAAAACCTGGGGCTGTTTTCAGTTTCAGCTATCTAGCTAGGTTCTGAGTTCTGACCCTTTCCAGATTCATTTCTCTCCATTAAATCTTATTTTTCTTTTCAGGTAGGAAGCGGCAATATGATGGCAGTAATTGAGCACCACGAAACCTAGCAATAATTTTTATACGATGGATCAGTAGTTTTAAAGTTATTTATGGAAAGATCATTCTAAAATTTTGATGTCTAATTGTTAGATATGAATTCTTATTTCTCAATTGCAAAACACTTGCAGTAATTGGTAGCTAATCTGAAAAACATTTGAAATAATCAAAAGGTGTACAATTATTCAGCAAGGGGAAAAACTACTCGAATCATTAGACATTATAAAATATATCAGTAAAATCAGTTTCCCAAACAAAAGCGCCGGCGTGGAGCAAACATACCACTATGACATTCACCTATGCTATGATGCTGCCACGTCACTCACTGGGCCCTAGATATGGACCTCTGCCCTGCAAGTGTCCATGTCTATTCCGTGGGCTGCTTTGGAAATGTTAAACCACAATTCAAAATGGCCCAAATCCTCTCATATTACATGCACATTCTGCACCCGATAATTATTCTACTTGACCAAATCTAATCATTTGTCGTACCATTTTTTGTTACTAGTGATACAAGCAACAAGAAAAAGCACCTAATCCTCATTGTGGAGGGAACAGATAGTATGCAGCAGCCACATTTTAGAAAGGGATGCAATGGGCCATACCCAAATTCAGGCGAAACCAAGAAGCAAAAGACCCCAGCCGAAAGCAAAGCTTGTCTCCTCCTTTTGCCTCCACTTTTATTTTAACAGTTCATTAACCTCATCATAATGATCTGATGACTTCAATTGCTTTTTCTCCAGTGGCCATCCCCCCCCCCCCGACAGACACCCAACTCATGATGCCCTATCATCTACTAAATCCATCGGATGCTTTCACCAATAATTTGTTACTTAATTAGTTTTAATATTATGTTAATTAATTATACAGTGGGTGAATGGAGCTCTATAAAGAGCTTAAAGGAGACCGGTAGGGATGGCAACGAATCTGATCTTTCTGGTTATTTTGATTTAACTCGATAAATATTTATTCTCTACTTGAATTTGATTAGATCTTAAAAATTTATATCTTTCACTTGAATTTGGTTTGATTTGAGAAATATATTACCTTCGTCCGAATCTGATTTGACCTAACATAAATATAAAAATTACTTTTACATCTCTAAAATTATAAAAGAAAAAAATATTATTACTTCGAACCGAGTCGTCACCTTCCCTAAAATCTAACCCTACCTAAATTCAAAAATAGAAAAAAAAATATCGAATTGAATCAAATTAAAATTCATGGAATTTAAATTAAAGTATCTTCCCTAAAGATACGATTTATTTATGCATTGAAGACAGTAACTGATATATCATTATCAAAATGGTTATAAGCTTACAAATGTTGCATGGATTAAAATTATTAAAAAACAAAAAGTCTACAGTCTTACAGTTTGAAAGGTCATTAAAGATTTTAAGCATTCCGATGAAAAATAAATAAAGATGTGCATTATAATATTGAAAAGGTCATGAAAGTTTGCTGATCTATGATGTAAAATACTGCTTGAAAGAAAGAAGATGAGAATCTTGAAGGGGGACTGATATACAACTTTAAAGATCTTATACTAGAAATGTAAAATAGAAATGGGGGAAAAGTGTGGGACTGGATCCTGCAATTGCTGGCCTTAATGACAGGGAAAGAGACTGGTGATGTTTAGTCTTTATAACAACCCTAAAAACAACGTGAAGAACCCAAAAATATTAATAACAAAAACAGTAGTGGGGGCAAATAGGAGTAGAGCAGTGACGCTTTCCAGTTCATAAGATGGAAGGAAGGAGAGGCTTTGTTTTTTTGTTCAAGAGAAAGGCTTTGAACCAGGAAATATCACATGGTGCTGCTGGACATAAAATAAATCCTTCTTCGCCCTGACAACATGTCCATATCATGTTTTCCCCCTATAAAATCAAAATAGGTTTGTCCCTCCCTCTCCACACAAATTACCCTAAATCTTCCTTTATTTAATGCATATCATAGGAGTATAAACCAGGAAACATCACTTGGCAATGCTTGCCCTGCTCGAAGAAGATCGTTGCTGGTAAAAGTTTTAAATTTATGCAGTTATATTTGTAAATTGTATATATATTATAAAAAATAAAAAAATATTATATTACTTTTTTATAAATAATGGTAATTTGATTTTATTAATAAAAATAATAGAACGGATCAAATTATAATGTATTCAAAGAGAAAATTGACGACAATAATCACAAAAAACTTGATATAAAAAAAATGAAACATCCATTAAGAAAAATGTCTAACATAAAAAAATTCAACAACCTTCATTGCACTCTTTGTTTATGTTGAACAAGACGCTTTACGAAGTGATAAAAGTATGATTAACGAACCAAACAATTTGGTAAATTATTTCGCTACGTAATTTTGATTATATCAACAAATAACCTCTTATCAAATAGGAGATCTAATAATATGTAATCATCTACAAACAAATAAAAACACAAATGTCATGAGAATCTTTGTGCAATAACCAACATGACTGCAGAGGTATACGAAAAACGTACCAAAATTCATAAGAAATATACCACAAGAGTAAGGGGAAAACGTGTCATAATAGCAAAGAAAAACATGTCACAATAACATAAATTCTTATTTAAAACTTAAAATAAAAAACAAATGGCATAGTAAGAAAAAGAGCAAAAAAATAATAATCAAATATGATCAATAATTAATATTAAGATTGATATCACTATTGATTAAACAAAAATTAAAAATAAGGTAATAAAAAATATTTTGAGAAAATTTAAGTTAAAAAATCCTAAACAACCGTAGTTGTTTTTAAATTTATAAATATTATCTTATATTATTTAAAAAATAATGATAGGTCTATGTCATATTGTCATACAAGTCTCACTACTTAATTGTTATGTCTCAGTTATTTCTCTAAATTTTAAAAGAGAAAATAATTTCATTGACTAAAAATACCTTATAATATACGATTTTAATCAACTTTTTTTGGGTTTGCCAAAATGACCAACTAAATCGCAATGCGATCGATAATTCGCAACGCGATCTCCGATATCGCAAATCAGTTTCCAGATTCGCAACGCGAACTTCAGTTCACGTTGCGATTTATTCCAAATTCGTTGCGGTAGTCGAAGTTCACGTTGCG